AGTCTAACTGGAAGTGTGAATCAAATCTAAGTCTAACTGGAAGTGTGAATCAAATCTAAGTCTAACTGGAAGTGTGAATCAAATCTAAGTCTAACTGCAAGTGTGAATCAAATGCATACCATAGCGATGGCCTCTTTGACCACCAGTTCCGGGTCCCGGGGCTGAAGGGAGCGCTCTTTGGCGGGCACTTCCTTGTTGTTGACGCGGCAGTAGTTGTCTGCGACCACATCCGTGAGCAGCGACTTCGTCACGACCGCCTCCTCAGCATCGGGCAGATCGTTGTGGTCATCGCCCACCACATGCACCACCTGTCCATCGCCCACATATATGGCCCAATGGGTGTACAGCATGCGGTCGATCTCTACGATGTCGGCCAACTCGGGACTCACTTCCGATGACACTCGGAATGGACTCAATTCAAAGCGAAGACCATTGTTGTGATGACTATTATTGTTGTTGTTATCTGAAGACATGGTTGACACGAGTTGTCACCAAAAGGGCACTCATTCACAATGAAATGGCTGTTAGGATTGCAAAAGACTACTCAAATTGTTGTCAAAGAAAATATTTTGAAAACTGATTCATAAGTCTTCAGTTCGTGTGGTTTGAATTGCAATTTGCAAATACGAGTAGTGTTTGTGTTTCACAGACTGTTCACTGTATGCAATGCTATTCAATGCTATCTCTCTGTTGTATTCAATGAGTGTTTGTGGAGAAGTGGTGTAAGTGTTGTGTAAGTGTTTGCCAGACATTCAGACAACTGGTGTTCATTGGCTCTCATCCCGTCATAAGACACTCCTCTGTGGAAAAGGCCTTCACTGAAGTGTTGACTGAATTGATGTGTTATGCAATCATATGCTGGATATATGGGTCTCTATGCCTAACCGTACTGTAAGACACTGTGCTCTTCACCAGGCCTTCCACGCCATCAGCTGAAGGTAGTTGTGATCAACACGTCTACAGACAGTATAGAGCCATCACTTCACCATTCAATCGATTAGTTTGAAAGCTATTCAAAAGTCATATGTTTAGTCATTCATATGACATCTGTTTAGCTGCTGATAGAGTTGGCACGTATGAGGCCGGGCGATGAGGGGCTGGCGTTGGCACCGGGACTGTTGAGCACCTCATTCAACGTGTTCACCATAAAGCTGTGGCCGTCGGACATCGAGTCCTTGTGCTCGCGTCGGAGCACTCGTATCGCAGAGAGAGCTACCGCTGCCTAAACACCACAGAAATGAAAGCAAATAACAAATTATGTCATTTCGTTGATAACAACTCATAAAATGCTTTCAAATCATATGCGAACGAAACGAGTGTTTATGAGAGTCTGAGCTATTGTTAAGACATTAAAAGACATTAACAATAAGTTTTTAACTAATATGTAGGGTTTGGGAAAGAGTTGAGTCAACAGTATTTAATCACAGTTCCTAATGATTAGATTGCAGCAAATGGATGATTACCACATTTATTTCACATCCCCGAATAGTCCTCCACAATTATGGACTAGTGAGGTTCCGACCGGCATGAAGGTAAGTCAGTTTATCACAAGTTGTAATGCCCAGTTATTTAATATCAGCTGAGTAGAGCCCACCTATACATCAGACAATTAATGGTTAATCAGACATGATATCACGTAAAAAGTAATTGAGTTAATCACTGAATAAAACACAGTATTTATAACTGCAAAACGAGATTAGATTACGAATTTGAAACACATTAATAAAAGTTATATAAAAATCAATTAACAAATACTCCAATTGAATGAATGGAGAAATGAAAGATAAATATTTATAAGTTTTTATAAGTTATTAATACAAACGAGTTATCATTTGATATGAGAAACACAATACAAATAATGTGTGAAAAACAACAAACGATTGAATCAAATCTAAGTCTAACTGGAAGTGTGAATCAAATACATACCATAGCGATGGCCTCTTTGACCACCAGTTCCGGGTCCCGGGGCTGAAGGGAGCGCTCTTTGGCGGGCACTTCCTTGTTGTTGACGCGGCAGTAGTTGTCTGCGACCACATCCGTGAGCAACGACTTCGTCACGACCGCCTCCTCAGCGTCGGGCAGATCGTTGTGGTCATCGCCCACCACATGCACCACCTGTCCATCGCCCACATATATGGCCCAATGGGTGTACAGCATCCGGTCGATCTCTACGATGTCGGCCAACTCGGGACTCACTTCCGATGACACCCGGAATGGACTCAATTCAAAGCGAAGACCATTCCCGCAGTTGTGATGACTATTATTGTTGTTGTTATCTGAAGACATGGTTGACACGAGTTGTCACCAAAAGGGCACTCATTCACAATGAAATGGCTGTTAGGATTGCAAAATACTACTCAAATTGTTGTCAAACAAAATATTTTGAAAACTGATTCATAAGTCGAGGTTCGTGTGGTTTGAATTGCAATTTGCAAATACGAGTGGTGTTTGTGTTTCACAGACTGTTCACTGTATGCAATGCTATTCAATGCTATCTCTCTGTTGTATTCAATGAGTGTTTGTCGAGAAGTGGTGTAAGTGTTGTGTAAGTGTTTGCCAGACATTCAGACAACTGGTGTTCATTGGCTCTCATCCTGTCATAAGACACTCCTCTGTGGAAAAGGCCTTCACTTTGTGTTCACTGAATAGATGTGTTATGCAATCATATGCTGGATATATGGGTCTCTATGCCTAACCGTACTGTAAGACACTGTGCTCTTCACCAGGCCTTCCACGCCATCAGTCGACTTCCATCAACACTAGTTGTGCAGATGTCTGTCATATCTCGGTAGTGAAGTGGTAAGTTAGCTAATCAAACTTTCGATAAGTTTTCAGTATACAAATCAGTAAGTATACTGTAGACAAATCGTATTTTAAGCTAATTTATACATTAATAACACTCAGATTATTATTTATTCAAATGACTGCTCAAATGCTATTTAAAACCACATTTTCAAACATACACTCAATTCAATTGAATTGTTTTTCGTGTAAAAGTCATAAAATAGGCTCAAATACAGAGTTTGTCTGCGATTTGCATCGAAGGTCTGTTTGTGTCAAATGCATGGATACAGCGATTGTGTACATAAACACATCTCTCATAATGTCATAAACAATACATTAGTTTTTAAGCAATCAAATCACGAAAACAATGCCGAAAGTGATAAACAATTGAATTTAAAAAACAAAATTCAAAACAAGTCTAAAGTTATTTGTAATGATGAGTGATTGGTAGGGATTCCTGTGAGAGAGGGGGACAAAAAGGGGGCAAATAGTTGGACAAGAATGAGATGCGGACGTAGTTAGTGAGGGACCCATTGGTAACGCCTTTCGCAATAGTATTGACTTTTTTGTCTACGATTTGATGCATTCATTGAATTCATGAATTGGTGTTGAGTTGCGGCACTCAATTGTATTAACGATTAATCGGTTCAAAACATCAACACATTTGTCGTGTCAACTCACCATTTGATACATTGTTTTGATATATATGTGAGTATTTGGTGGCAAAAAGTGGAGACAATTTGAAATTCACGCATAGATTGAGTGGACGATTGTCTGCAGTTGTGTCGCCATTACTGCCAGAATGTGCGACAAAAGCATTGATTACTTTCACAACTCTTTTATTGCTTTTGTTGTCTTTATTTGCTTTTCATTCAAATATTTGTTTTAATTTTGCGAAACAATTGACACATGAATTCAATGTCTGTTTTGTTTGCCGTGTGTTTAGTGACGTATTTGTGAGACAATGGGTGACTCGGATGAAGACTTTGACCGCTCCTCCAGAGGTCGGGATAAGTTCAGACGCGAGAGGAGTGACTACAACGACAGGAACTCCGATAACCGACGCGATAACTGGTCGGACCGGTAGGTGTACTCCTATGCACTCGTGAGCTATTTGTGACCAATGTTTGTGTGATATAGTCGTGAGAGTGGAGGCACCGGCTCTTGGAATAACCAGAACAGAGACCGCATTCCTCAGCGTAGAGACAACTATCGCAATGACAACTACTCGATGGGCGGACAGGGAGGCGGCGGTCAGCGCAGGGATCGGTACAGTCCGGCCGATAGGAGTGATATGAGTCCGCCTATGAAGCGCATGAGAGGGGGTCGCGAGTGGGACGATAGGTCTCCGTATCCTAACTATGAGATGGGAGGCTATGGTTCCGGTCATCACAACAACTGGAATCAAATGGATAACAATGGCCCCAACTCTCAGAACCAGAATCAGCACAGGTTTGCATTGACTATAATAGTAATGAAGTGATTGCCATAATTGTTGTGATGATTGGTGGACAGGGAGGCGGACACCGGTCCCACTCAGCCTCCAATGATGACATTCAAGCAGTTTTTGGGAACACAAGACGACGGGATTGACGATCAGATCGCTGTTAAGAAGTATAACGACTATAAGTTGGAGTTTAAGAAAAGACAAATTCTTGAGTTTTTTAACGCCCATAAGGACGAGGAATGGTAAGCACAGCCCTCACCACAACACACATTACTATTGCATATAATTTATTAAACATTTTCTTCCAAAAGGATAATAATGAACAGAATTTTGTTATTTTTGTTATTTAAAATATTTTATTGATTCGCGTTAACAGCGATTCCTGTATTCATTGCTATAATCTTATTGAATCGAAACGAACTATTAATTTGAGAAATATTTTGTGATTAATTTTCTCAAACAAAAGCCATTTATTTGACAAAAGTTTTAATATGAATACACAGTACCAACAAAATCGGTGATTGTTTTTAATGCATTTAATACATAAGTTTCTCGAAAATATATTCTCAAAAGTGTTTCAATCAATTCAAACAAATGAAACGAAATTTTATTTAAACATATGATTATTGAATTCATATATTGCTATACCGTTTGTATTGTACAAAACAAACATATTTTGCTATGAGTATAACGCAAAGTATATTTTGATTTAAATAATTTAAATTCTAATAATCTCTTCAAACAATTATATCTTAAATTAAATTAATGGTTAAGAAGTGTTTTGATCGTAAAAAGCAATTGTTTATGAATTCCACAGAAAAGTAAAAATTTCTTTTGAATCTGTTTTTTATATTTAGTGTTAATTTTAACACAAAAGTAATCAAACTATTCGACTATAATTTAATGCCATGTGTTGGTTGAGGTGAGACATAAATTCGGGCGCTTTTACCATAAAATATATCATTAATTATCATTAATTATAATTAAAACGATTTGTTTAACATTCAGTAAAACTTCGATTTTTTCAATGGTTTTACAAAATAATTTATTTTCATATTTTATTTGTCGAGAAATTAATGATGTTTTTGTCTGTTTGTGTCGGACTTGCATTGATTTGATAGGTTTCGGTCCAAATACCATCCCGAAGAGTACGACAAACGTAAGGCCGAACAGACCCAGGCATTCAAGACACGGCTCCAAATATTCCTCGATTTGTTGGCCAACAGTTTCATCGATTCCGTGAGCATTGATGTGGAGAAAGCCAATCAAATCATTCGCTTATTGGACGCCGCGGTCATCAAACTCGAAGGCGGAACTGATTTCGATTTAAAGGCTTTGGACGAGAATTATGAAGAGGAGAAAGCAATAGAACCCGATTTGTCACTGTTTTCCGTTGATGTGGAGAAACCGGCAAAACCACAGACGGATAAGAGTGAGAGGGAAGCCGGCGAAGAGTCTGGCAGTGAAGACCTCAACCATAAGGACAATGACAATGAGAATGAGAACGTAGATAACGAACCCAAGGAAACAGAGGGAGAGAAAGAAGTGACCGAAAAGGATAATGACAACGAAGTGGAGACCACTGTCAAGACAGAGACGGGAGACTCCATTGCCAGTCTCGAGGAGGGAGAGGCGTCTATGGACGCCAACAGTGAGACTAAAGAGAATGTCGACGAAGACACACAAGAAGATAGAGTTAAGGTTAAGGTTGAGGAGGAGAAGAGTCAGTCACCCGTGAAAAGCATCTCTAAGTCGGATGACTCTGAGAAACCGCGAGCCCTTCACAAGACATTGTCTATATTTATGCGAAATCTTGCGCCGACTATAACTAAACAGGAGATCGAAGATGTAATTGAATTGATTAGAAATCATGAAATCTTAAGTCTCTAATTGTGAAATTTGTTTCAACAGTTGTGTCGACGATATCCAGGGTTTCTTCGCTTATGTATCGCGGATCCAACCTCTGAGCGAAGGTTCTTCAGGAGAGGATGGGTTACGTACGACAAGTCAGTTAACATTCGGGAGATATGTTGGTCTTTCAATAGCGTGAAAGTGAGTCAAACAAATGATTGTAATTTCCATTTCTTTAAATAAAATGATTGATTAATCCATTGATAGCTGAGAGACACTGAACTCAACGTAATAGTGAACCGAGATTTGAGTCGACGAATCCGATCTGTCAATGGAATCGCTTCGCATAAGAATGTCGTTCGCGCGGACATAAGACACGCGGCGAAGATTGTCCTCAATTTAGATAAACAGAGGAAACTGTGGGACGAAGAGAATGGAGAGACTAAAGAAACGGTCGAAACGAAGCCGATGTTTGGATTCGCGTCAAAGAATCCGTTACTTAAGAATATTACCGATTATCTGATAGAAGAGGCGTCGGCTGAAGAGGAGGAGCTGTTGGGCACCTCTGAGATCGGAGAACTCGATGACGGAGAGGATGGCGAGAACAACGGGCCGTCACTCGATAGGGACGAGAGTCTGATTAAAGTGTTGGATCGACTGCTCCTTTACTTACGTATTGTTCATTCAATCGATTATTACAATCACTCGGATTATCCCAACGAAGACGAGATGCCCAATCGGATCGGTATAATGCACGCCAGGGGTATGGTCTCCACTTCCAGCCGTGTCTCACAACAAGAGATCAATGATTACATAAAGAATTTCGAGGCAAAGGTTCAGCCCTTCCTTCAGCCGCCGACTGTCGTGACCGAAGAGGACGCCAACAAACTTGGCCTCAAAGACACGGAAGAAGAGGCGGAGAACTTCATAAAAGCGAATACACAGGAGTTGGCGAAAGACAAGTGGTTGTGTCCGCTGTCGGGCAAGAAGTTCAAAGGACCCGATTTCGTGCGCAAACACATCCTTAACAAACACGTGGAGCGCATAGAAGAGGCCAAACAGAACGCCGTTTATCTCAATAACTATATATTCGATCCAAAGAGACCTCAACTCCCGGAACACCCCTCCAATCGTCCGCAGACTAATCCTCCCAATCGCGGCGATGGCTCTAACGCTGGAGCTTCTGGCGGAATGGCTCCCGGTTATGGTGGTATGCCTCACGCCCCGGGCATGTATCCGGGTCCTCCTCCTTATATGACCGGTGGTTATGGACCCAGAGGTCCGATGATGGGTGGCTTCGGTGGACCGATGCCTTATGGCAGAGGTTACCCTCCAATGGGAATGGGACCCATGCATGACGGCTATGGTAGGGGACCAATGGGTCATCAGAAGCCTAGATTCACGCGGTAAGTGTTGACTTGTTTTGTGTTTTTATATATAAAATTGTGACAAAAATGGTTTCTTATGAACCCATTGTCTGCAAACAACTTATTATAGAAAAGATACGCGAAATATCGTGGCGTATGAAGACTTAGACGACTTAAACGAAATGGTTTAGCCGTTTGTCAATTCTTTGTCTCCCTTTCCACCGCTTTCCGCATCCATTGAGAAATCATTTTTAGTTGTATTTTAAATAAATTCGCGTTTTCTCGAAAAACACTTAAAATTGCTTTTAATTTAACAAATAGTTTACTTTACAAATGAACTGAAGTTTGAATGCAATGTCTTTAACAGAAAGAGAATCAATTATCGAGATCTCGACGCACCCAATGACGATCAAGACATCAATAACTAGATTACTGTTAGACTTACTCTTCTGTCTCACCCCTCGATGTCTCATGACTTGTCTCAGTCTCTCTCTCCCCTCCCATTCGTCTGACTCTAACGTAATTTTTCTAATATTTAAATTTAAAACCTTTTATTTTACATTTAAGAGCCCATTGTTTAGGTTTTATTATTATTAATATGCTGTCAATTGTTATATCATTTTTATACACATTTCTTCACACTATTGTGTCAAACATTTTCAATTTACCACAAAATTAGTAATTCTTTTTGTGTTTTAATTATTTGACAATAAATTTATTAATATTTTGTACGAAATTTAGCTCTTATTTTGATTGTAATTCCCTCACACTATTGTGTCAAACATTTTCAATTTACCACAAAATTAGTAATTCTTTTTGTGTTTTAATTATTTGACAATAAATTTATTAATATTTTGTACGAAATTTAGCTCTTATTTTGATTGTAATTCCCGTTTCATTAAATATAATAAAATTATTTTCCAAAAAAGTATTGAATTTGTTTGTATGCATTGATTTGAAGGGTGTTTTGAAAAGTGAATGTTTGCGTAAAATTGGTAATGAATTGACTGACGAAGCGATTGCTGTGTGAACCGACAGAATGGGTGTTAACGGGTGTCCTACTCGTGCACACAAGTCATAACTAGTGATGTTTGTGACAATTCAATGACCATTTGTTTTATTGATGTGAATATTCATGAAAGCAAATAAAAAGCAATTCGTTGGGCAACTCGTGTGGAGGTTTGTCTCAATGCTATTCCAATGCCATTAAAGATATGTTTTTGTGATATTCTAATCAATTCTTTGCATTAATTCTTTAAATAATCTAATTATAGAATAGTTTTGTATTTATGTTCACATTTATATTCATTTATATTTATAAGTTTCTCAATATTCAATAATACCACAAGTATTTGAATACACTTTTCGAAAACATTTACAGAATAGACTATTTTAGCCATAATTAGTATCAAAGTAATAAAACAATACACAAGACATTTTATTCAAATATTATGGCAATTGATATGATCTTTAATGTCAACACTATTTAATAGTTGTCTTAAAATATCAAATCATTTGTGAAAACCAAAGTATAAGAAGTCGAAAGTCAACGCTTTAGATGGGGTGACCAATTAGTGGGGGTTTGGATCTATTAGATAAGTTATCTTTGTACTAAATTATTATTACAGCAACTCATTATCCCTTGCACTGTAAGGTTAGTTCTGGTTAATACCACAAATTATCTCATTTTCGCTAAATAGCCGTTCTTTAGACTATGGATTCACTTCTCTTCAGGAAAGTGATTGATAGAGTGCTTCTCAACACAAATGCGATAACTTTTATGCAATTTCTCTGAAGTGAATGTAATTATAATAAATACTTTGTTACTAAACAACTGTTTTAGTTGTGAAACAATAGGTTTACTGTATGCGAGTTACATAATAACGGTATAACAAACACTTGTGATGACTGAGAATCTCCTGACTATACCTTACAGACTGTAAGTTACAGTACTGTCTAATCACTGAAAATTATGTGAATTACTAAACTTTAATCCATTAAAAGTTATGCAACAAATTAATATTGAATTAAATTGTCAATTCAGAGCAAATTTAATGACCGTATGTATGAGTGATAAGTAATTAAATGCAGAATAAGAAAAAATGAATTTATTGTATTTTAAAACAAATTCCAATAAATTGGTTGTTAGAAAAAACACTTGACTTATTTATTACAATTTTATGAAAAATTTAATCCGAAAATTGGTGTAAATAATAATACCGTAAACAGAAAATTCATTTTCAAATTCATGGGAAAGGGATTTAACCGCAGAAAACATCTGTTTTTGATTTGAATTTAATATAATCTATAGATTGAAGGCTTCGTCAACGAGTTCATTGACTTAACAAAAGAAAAACATTTTCAACAAAAAGTTATTTTTAATTCACAGAAAAAACGAAACAATAGTTTGACGGATGAGTCGATACGATAGACACACAACAGGTTTATGTGCCATAAGAACGGGTTCCTCGAGAGGTGTTTAGATGT